TTCACAACATTGCTGCCAAGGTTAAAAACAGCTATCCAGTACCTACACTAGTTCCCTTGTGTACAGAACTTTGTGAATGTAAGACTCATATTCTTCCCCCAAAGCCAAAAGACAAGTGACCTCCTCCCTCCAACTCCCACCCCCCTGGCCCAGCTTTGGCAAACACTGGTTTAGGTGGATTCTGCAATTGACGGCTGCAAGGGTTGAACAATTTTGTAGCCAGAGCACACACACACACACACAAACCTCACTATGGCATTTCCTGCTATTTTCCTTTCCACAATCCATTGCTTTAAACACCAAACGAAATATGGGAAGTGCAAGTAAGTGAGAAGATCAATGCTCTCTTCTTCTCTTGCTTAAAAATCTGCATTTCTTCTCCTTGACTCCGCTCTTATTTCCCAGAATCCTCCTACATTTGCTAAATCCTGATACCATCTGCAGTTTGAAGACTATGAGCAACCAGTTTCTGTTATGCCTTTGAACATGCACAGATGCACTCAGATGCACATGATGATGACGAGCATGTTGAGAGATGCTATCAGTTGTAAACAGATTTCTCAACCACAAATAGCACAAGACTCTGAGGGCCAGTGTTGACTGTTCATAAGACAATCCCAGCAGCTTTGTCCTCATTCAATAATCAGACATAGGAGAAAGTTCTAAGGAAGGAGAAAGCAAGACTGCAGGTGTTCACAGCATTTGCAGTGGAGCTGTAAGGTGGCAAACCAGCAGTGAGAAACCATCGATCAGTTGCAGAATGAAGCTGTTATCACTGCTGGAACAGGGTGGGGGATGGGCAATGGGCATCATCATGCTCACAGCTGTGAGGAATAAGGGCACACTATTTCTGTCAACTTCAGATCATTTGTACTCCTAACACTGTCAGATATCTCTAAATATTACTTTTCAGTCTGCCTTCAGATTTTGTAAAATGTAGTCCACAAACAAAACTCCACAGACAGATGCAGTAAGTCAGAGCAAATGGTGCTCATTATGTTGCACTATTATCATTACAAGCATAATGAGTTAGTGCCTTGGTATTACCGCACAGTCTGGAGTCGCTGAGCAACCAGTTTCCATTATGCCTTTAAATACCCACTAATTATGATGTGACTACAGGCTGGTAAGCAGGGTTCAGAGTTGCAAGATGCATCAAGCTGCATGGATGATTACACCTCTACTGCAGCTACTGCATCTATCTACAGTAGAAAATGGGGAAAAATATAATCCAGTAATGACTGGAGCTCCCCAAGATGCAGTCTACTTTCTCTATGCTTGAACGTGTGCCTTCAACACAGACCCAGAGTTCTGCAGCTCCTGTACTGCCTTTGCTCATGCCTTGCAGCTAAGGCTCAAGGTACATTACCAGAAATCAGTCCCTCGTATTTGCAGAGCCCAAGTAGGTGAGGTGCTTCAGAAAGAAAGTAGACGATGGGTTGCAGGCTTAGCATAGAGACAGGTCATCTCAGACTCTAACTTGTGCATTTCCTAAAAAGTTTGTCCACACCAAGTCCTCTGTGACAGCATCCCAAAGAGACACATGTAGGCAGAGAGTAACTTGACATTATCAGGATAAGAAAGATGCCCAGGCTGCAAAGCTGGCTAGCACCACTGGCTGCAATGCTTGACAGCTTTCTGGGTGTGGCGTCTCCCCCCCACCCCCAGTTGCCCCATTTACCCTGGTTCATACTGTGGTGATCAATGCATATGCTGATGTCGCATATGGGGTTTGTAACTCAAGCTAGACCTTCAAGTCACTGGTGCTCTTGGGATGGAGGTTGCTTTAAGAGGATCCTGTGAAGTGCCTGGCCATTTGTTTCTGTTTTGACTTCTTTGTGCCAGTTTTCAGGATCTGCAGATCTGCAGTAGTTTCCAGTTCTGCAAAATCACATTTGAAGTGATAATGGGATTGGTTCAGGGTCAGGAAATTCCTTTTGGAACCTCTTGCTCAAACTACTTTAACCAGTCAGATGTTGATTTTGTCCAGAGTTGAGATTGAAAGTCCCGGGAGTCCAAAGCGGGACTCAAGGGATCCTCTAACCTGCCGGCACAAACTGCCTGTGATTCCCTTGAGACATCAGCTTACAGACTGACATTCCTATCCTTGAAGGTATGGGAGATTTAGGATTTACAAACAGGCATTTTTCCTGTCTATGACATTTTCCTAATGTCTGTCCATCACTGTCTGTGACTGCCTTATTCACAGGTATTGTAGAGAGTTTGCTGTTTACTGGAAGGATTGCTCTGTGTAAGCAGATCACTCAGGGTCAAAAAAAGTTCTCTATATCTAACTTTCTTTCAAATTAAGAAGCACTACATTGAAACTATAGTTAGCTCTATGGCTAGAGCTCAGAGCTTGAGGCTACGAACAGAAGCAGCTTTGCTTTGAAACATCTGAAAGGAAGCAAGGCATAGCAGGTACACTCTGCCCTCCAGTCCATCAGCAAGGCAGAGGTGAGACAATGGATGTACATCCTGCAGGTAATCATCAGCCAAAAATGTGCTGAATTCAAAAGGGCTACTGACACTTCCAAATTCTTTACTTCCTTTAATTATCATCACTTCTTTTCCCCCTTAGCCCTAACTCTACTTAAGGAATTAATTATGAAAACTTCCTATGATTTCAGTTTTCCCCTGCCTATTTAACCAGCTTAACCTCCACTCCTCTGGCAGTTCATCACTTTCTCATACTCCCTAGACTAAGCATTTCAGGAGGTGAGAGAAAATAAAAGCGCATGACCATCATGAACAGGATGGAACCATTTCATAGAATCATAGAATCATAGAATGGTTTGGGTTGTAAGGGACCTTTAGAGACCATCTAGCCCAACCCCCCTGCAGTGAGCAGGGACAGCTTTAACCAGATCAGGTTGCTCAGAGCCCCATCCAACCTGACCTTGAATGTTGCCAGGGATGGGGCAACCCCATCCCACTTCATTTTAGTGACTACCCCACAAAACTCCCCTCGGAGCTTGGGTGAGGTATACAAATTCTGCTTTCCTTCTGCAGAAGACAAGCCATTCTTCCCTAGGCATCAGGGAAGTGGGCAAGGCATTCAAGCAACCAAGGGAAGCAGGGGCTACAGAGTGGCAAAATAGCTGGCAAAATTCAAACCTCAGGTTGCAAGTCAAAGCATGCCAGGTGCTACCCTGTGTTCTTTTGATAAAGTACTTTATTAATTGCATCTGAGGTCATTCAAACTGAACTCTCTTCCTTGCAATCCCCTCTCCCTCCTAACCAACTCCTTTCAAACTTCCCTGCCTCTCCCCCAGTTTTTAAATACTAGAAGAAAGGAACACAGGTCTCACCTATGACTCTTTCCATGGTTTCTTCAGCAGACTGCTCTTTCATAGGTTGATACTCACAAGCTATCTGCTACCCTTTAGATAACGTCTACTTCCACGAGATCACCAATAGTTGGCTGGAAAATAGGAGGCAAAGTCAGTCTGAGATCCTTATTTCTCACTAAATTAGTCTTTTTACTCTTTACAATGTTTTCTTTTTTTAAAAAAGAAAAATATCTCTCAACAGAAAATTAACCACCAAAACCGGGGACTGTCTGATGAAAGGATGTCTAAAGCACGCAGAGATCTGGACTAACAGGTCTGAGCGAACTACCAAATTATTCATGTAGGTGCACTGATTACCATTGACTAAATTATGTCACCAAAGAGAATGATATCAGAAAAGAGAGGAAGGGTCAGTTTTATGGAATCTGTCAGGCCTGTTCAAGTAACAGCTCATCCTTGTACCCCAAAAGTGTGTTCCTTATCTTTGTCTACTCAGAATCAGTGATTATGGATACTAATCTGGCCTAGCATAATTTCTGAATACCAATGAAGGAAACTAAGCCTTGAAAAGCATACACACTTGTCCAAGTCTGGGTCTGAGACACTGAAGATACTTTGTTGACATACAAAATTCCTTTCAGGAAAATGTTAATGTTACACTTACCTGGAATGGAAGCTTTATTTTGGCTCCTCCAAATGCTGGAGTTCAGCTTGTGGTACTGTACCTCTGACAACCCTCCCCTTGTACCAGCTCAAATGATGACAGCCCAGAGAAGTAATCCTATGTAATAGCAATTAATGTGCTTGTATTTTCTTCCGGCTTTTTAATTTCTGTTACGTAGGCCAGTATATTCTAAGTAAAAACGTTTAACTCACAGGAAAAATTCACACTGTGTGTCATGGCTTAAAAACCCCCAAACTTATTACAGAGCAGTAACTTAGAGCCATGCTCTGTATTTTTTCAAAATTGAAAAGAATCCTGTTTTGATCAAGTTCTGACTGATTGATAAACTGGGCAAAGTGTCTGCCACTGCTCAGACTGCAAGTTGTCTGCAATATTTCTAGAAAATTTATGAGATTTCAATTTGTTCTGGTTTTCTGCTATTTAATGGTTATGTTTTGGGCATATTCCACTAGACTAACTATTGGTAAAGGATAAACATCTATCTTGGTATTAAGCTGCTATGGAGAATATTAAGAAGTTTCCAGTACACCCACAGGAAAAAGTCTGCTTCAGTGTGGACCAGTACAACCTCAGTTGCCAAAGATTGCACATGAGTGCATATGTAAACAAACAAACACACACACACACCCCACCCAGGGGTGGGAATGAACTTCCAAGAAGCAGCTCAAAAAACCAAAAAAACCTGAAATGACCAATCATCAATTCAAAATACGGACAGCTTTCCATATTGGCACAACTTCTAATGTGATACTTTCCCATGTATTTTACCATTTGTCAAGTTTTCCAGATCTTTGCATTCAAACATACACCTAATACTGTTAATTTGTTACAGCATTTTTTAATTCATTTTAGAAGAGCAGCATATGTACGTCTTCTAACTTTTTTAAACCATACATATCTCATTCTAAACCTAGAGGTTTCCATAGTTGTCATTAAAAAGCACGTAGACAAAATATTTTATGGCATCTATAATAAATGCAAATAAATCAATACAAACAAAACTTGGCTTAGCAAACTGTACATACATAAATATGTTCTTTGTTTTTCAACTTGACATTCAACATTTTTCCTCATAAAACCTTTTACGATCTTATTTATTACATCCATTTTTTTTAAACCTTAAAAAAGTGCTTCTTAGATTTACACTTTGTGCATCCAAAGCAGAAGTTAGAACACCATGCCCAAAACAGAAACCACAGGGAATAATACATTGCCATACAAGATCCTTTAAAATTGTATGTTACAAATGTCTAAAATTTCTTTAGCATTGGTTATTTTGTATACTGTAGATACTGAGAAGGTATTTAACAAAACTGGCTAATGGCTCATTTAGAGCAGCACACAGGGAGGGATCTACAGTATCAAGTCCTTGGCTATGCATAGTACAGGGCAATGACCTGGATATAAAGTGGCTAAAAGATCCAGAATGCTGGACAGAAGGACATTTCCCTCACACATGTCACATCCTCCTTAGTACCCGGGATGCGAGTATTGAAACGATGCTACTCAGGTAATACGTTGTGCAGTTTGATACTGATATACTGATGCGTTACTAGCTGAGTGCCAGCAGAGAATGATATGGATATAGCAGTGGCTACAGCAGGTAGGTAAAGCTGCCACACTGAATACTGTCACCCTTTAAAACCATCCTGCCTCCCAGCCAGCACTCCAGCAAGGTCACCCGCTGTCTCACGGGTCTCCTTCATAATGGAGGTGGACCATTCATGTATTTTAACATGGGGTGGAAAGAGCGGGCAAAATTGTTGGCCATAGTACAGCTGTAGTCCTCCTCGGTCATTGGCACCAGGCAAGCCAGCCCGATCAGCAGCAGCAAGAGGAGCTGAAGTGGCAGAGCAGCTCTGAGGACTCTGAGGAAGAAGGACGGGCGCCGCCATGCCGGCCCGGCCTCAGAAGGGGAGGAACCTGAGCCACCTTTTGTGGACCTGAGAAAAGAGGATGGACAGGTGAATACACAGGTGCATTACTCCAGCAGAGGTTGTCCTCGGGCACTCAGCCTTCCCTGAAGGCTGGTTTACAATTTGTACAGACTTTAATTGAGAACTGCAGAGGTATTTTTCACTGAACATGCTATTTCCCTAACACTCTTAAGAGACCCCATATTTCTAGACTGGGTAGGAAAACACCAAATGATCACAATAGAATGGGCTTTGAGACCCCACAGCCCCTTCATCAATTATGGGAAAGACTCTCCACTTAAAGCACTGTGCTCTGGAGAAAGGGAAAATAAAAGATGGGCCATACCTGCCACATATGTTCAATGCACACTGTTTAAAAAGGAAGCCTCCACATTTAAAATGCCAGTTGCATTTGGTTTGCAGAAGTTTCTACATTCATTTCTGTATATAGTATCCACAAGGGTATAATACATTAAGATTCAGTTACATCAATCTTCAATTAATTAATCCACCAATATGCAGGCAATGGGGACTCATTTTCTACAAAGTACATTGTAATTTGAATCTTGCACTGAATCAGCAGTTAAAAATCTATTTGCTCAACTGACTGGAGACCATCACCTTCTGAGTGATTTTCTCCCTTGTGTCTATAGTTTTGACTTGAAATGGCACATATCTATCACACGTCTATGGGAGAGGCAAGACCTAACACAAACATTTCCAAAGGGACACTTCAAATTAAGCACAAAAATCCAATCTGTTTTTTAATGAGGGATAAAGACATAGACTTCACATTTGCCTTTTTGACTGAAACTGTCAGAGCTATAATATAGAGATGACAGGTTTTGAGTTAAGTGGATGACTGAAAAGAGTGATACAAGTTAAAATCTGCTGGTCTCAGTGTGCTAATTAAATGGCATAGGAAGGTATTGTATTTTAGCACTAGCCAAAAATGGAAGAATTTAGAGCCTTCAAATAATTTGCTTCAAGAACTCTTCCATTAAGACATTAGATCATGAATTTTGTCTTAGACATGTTGTTATAAAATATCTGTGTGGTTGCTATGATTATGAAGCCCCAGAAAAATCTATGGTTTGCTAGGGGTCAAGATATAAAAATGCTCATAAGGATGGATTTAGTCTCAACTTCAAGGTGTGGGAGATGAGGCTTGTTGGCTGAGGTCAAATGTTCCCCAGTAAAGCAAGTAGGGGGTGATGGTTCCTTATTGTCTCCTTGCCTTCCCCTTGTCCTTTTGATACTGTCTCCCAGATAAATCTGCATCTGTGTGAGAAAGCATACAAAACCCAAAATATCACCTTCAAAACTACGCCAGGCTTGGCAGGGTCCCCTTTCCACATGTTCAGAAAAGAATTCTTTCTATGCTTGAGATTATTTTTATTGTCTTGTTCATATATGTGTATGATCCCACTATGAAGACTTCGAGAAAGCCAGATAGATTTGGTAAAGTTTAGATGACCAACAGATACATAAACAACTCAGGTATGCTAAATGATTAACTTGACCTAAATATCCCAGGAAGCAGAGATGATCAAAACACTAGATCGCATGTTGTTTGAATCCACACTATTGTAGCCCGGATGGAAAGCTGCTTATCGCATAACGTGAGATTGCGTATTCTAAAGAAAATATTGAAAGGATATGGCACATTTAACAGCATCAGAGCATTCCATATTCAAATTTAATTAGATCAGGACTTCTACTGTCCGAGAATGCCAAGACAGAAAGTTAATGGACTGAGGTAGGAACAAAGGGAACAAGGAGTGCTTAATTACCTTCCAAGCATTTGATTGCACAGTCTACCTATTTACAAGGCTTTCATCGTACAAATGTTGTTAAACCCAATCAAAGGCGGCCACATTTCTGCAGTTGGTAACTACTCTGATAATGAGCAAAGTCTGAGTTTTCTTCATTGACTCAGAGTTACTCTGGGGCAACACTGGGTGTCAGAAGGGGAACCGAATCCTGGGCTGCATCAAAAGCAGCGTGGCCAGCAGGTCAAGGGAGGGGATTCTGCTACTCTGCTCTGCTCTGGTGAGACCCCACCTGGAGCACTGTGTCCAGCTCTGGGGCCCTCAGCACAAGAAGGACATGGACCTGTTGGAGCGGGTTCAGAAGAGGGCCACAAAAATGATCCGAGGGCTGGAGCACCTCTCCTATGAGGCCAGGCTGAGAGAGTTGGGGTTGTTCAGCCTGGAGAAGAGAAGGCTGCGAGGAGACCTGATTGCGGCCTTCCAGTACTTAAAGGGGGCCTATAGGAAGGATGGGGAGAATCTTTTTAGCAAGGCCTGCTGTGACAGGACAAGGAGTAATGGATTTAAACTAAAGAAGATTTAGACTGACTATAAGGAAGAAATTTTTTACAATGAGGGTGGTCAAGCACTGGAAGAGGTTGCCCAGAGAGGTGGTAGGTGCCCCATCCCTAGAAACATTCAAGGTCAGGCTGGACGGGGCTCTGAGCAACCTGATCTGGTTAAAGCTGTCCCTGCTCACTGCAGGGGGGTTGGGCTAGATGACCTCTAAAGGTGCCTTCCAACCCAAAGCATTCTGTGATTCTCTGATTCTATGAATTTCCAAAAAGCAGAATCAAAAGGGAGCAGGCAAAGCTGGCATCTAATTTTTCTTTTCTTTTCCTATGGCTTTAGCAGCACAATCCAGCACTTTCTGCTTTGTCTTTTACCAAAAAAAAGAAGAAAAAGAATGGTATGTAAGCTGCATGGCTGATCCAACAAGGAACATAAACTTTCTTTCAAAAATTAAAACAGTTCATGGCAAAGTTTTTAAAAACACTTTTTCTGCAGTGAAGTAGGGTGTTGAAGAAGTTTCTAATACTCCATGGAAGCAATTAAACACGCAAATAATGAAACATTATGAAAACATCTTCAGAGGGGGAGTTCTAAAAAGTTCGAGTGCTGTACTGCCTGTGTTTATTGCAGGTACGCCTCTGTAATCTACATAATTGGCTGAAAAATGGAATGGCTCAGCTTAGAGTGTTTAATGGATTTGGTAAAGAGAGGTGGTTAAAAATATACATTTTTAATACAAAAGGCTCACTATTCATAAGGGTCAGAACTCCTATGTACTCCAGCAGGAGAAGGGAAAGCTGAAGTGCTGTATGCCACTTTGGAGAAAAATGTAGTTTCTTTTTCTTGAGCTTGCATCTTTAGCTGTCTCTCTTCTAATTTGTCACAGTGGCCCCTGTTGGAGGAGGGAAGGAAGTAAGGCCATCTGCTCCTCACTCCGTACACAATTTGTACTAACTAGATAAAAGGGGGAGGCACAGCTGCAGACCTGGCCAACAGTAAGCATCTTATGTCAAGAAATCTCATAGATTAACCTAAGAAGTACGAGCAATAGTTACCCTTACTTTGGGAGTCTGTAATGTCAGTGAAATTGGAACTCTTTCCTAAGCATTTCAAGAGAGGAGAAGCTAATTTACCAGGATATAGGTTGGACGGGCAAAGTGAACTTCAATTTCAGCTCAGACGAGTACCTTCTTTTAAAGATGACTGATTTTTTTTTTTCCCCCAAGGAAAATATGGTTGAAGTAATCTATCTGTATTGCAGTAAACATCTGAAAGATTACAACAGAAGAATTTATCATTCAAGCGAAGCTGATAGGAACAAATAAAGTGAGTTTAATGGGGAAGTGACTAATGGAATGCAGACAACAGGTTTACATTGAAAGAGGCACTGCTGGGCTAGTAGGATGTTATTACTGGAGTTAATCAAGGATGAGTCTTGATATAATATCTTTATGAAAAGACTATGGCACAAAATATAAGAACAGCAAATTTCATCTGTATGATGACAGAAGTTGGAAGTCTTTGCAAATACAAAATAGGATTGGCTTCTTGCACAGAAAAAAGTGGGTGAATCCAGTAGGTTTAAGAAGTAGCTCAAGGAGTTTAAGATTATGGTATGTAAGGTAGCAATAAAAACTTCTGCTATAAATTTGGAAGTTCACACTCTGAAGACAATGAAGAGAATCTAGAGCTGTTTGACACAGGATAGCCACAAACCAATAATGTGGCTTGTGAATAGCTGTGAAAAGGGACAAAAGAAATTTTAAAATATATTTCAGTTCAAGATTTCCGGAAGAGAAAAGGGTTTGTTTTAATGATGTTCTATAAGGCACTAGTCAGATCTCACCTGGAGCAGTTTGTATCATTTTGGTTAATATCTGAAAGATCAATTCAAACTCACACACGCTTAAAGGAGTCAAAAAAAATGGAGTATTTCTCCTATGAAGAAAATAAAGAGCTGATCTTACCAATGTAAAACCTGAGGGATACTAAAACTACCCTCTATAAAATACTGCAGAGCAGACAGAAAGAAGGGTGAACAGTTGTTAAAGGAAGGGATAATGTTGGCACAAAACCAAATCAAGGTGGATTATTGTACTTCCAGATAATCAGAGAAATTAAATTTGATAATGACCTTCTAATAGACTTTTTGTTCCCACTAATTCTAACTTTTTAAGATGGAGGTTGCTAAAGTTATAAAGGAGAAGGTATGACGCTCTGGCCACAAAAGCAGGCAACGATTCCTTTTGGTGGCCTAAGAGACTCTCTAGGAGCGATCTTTGGCTGTGTTCTGACTTCAAGTCTCTCCCTAGCTCTCAGCATCACATCACCCCAACCTCAGTTTTGGCTTACCCTGTAAAGAAGATGAATATGTCCATTTCAAAGGCAGTTAAATATGAAGTTTAAGTAACAAGCTCTAAGTGAGAGTGCAGCAGATAACTGGGAGAAGAACCATGGCAAGCCAAGCCCAAACCTCATGTTTGAGCTACTGCGTGGCAATGACTGCCATTTTCTGGCCAAAGGCATGGAGAGCGTTCTGGCCTGGTCTGCTCCAGGAACAGCAAGCGGCCTTTAAAGATCCACTAGTCATTTCAGGAGGCTTGGGGAGAGCAGGAAATGGAGGTCGGCGCTGCGGCACCAAGACTTGAATAGAGCTGCTCAAGAGAGACAATGTAAACACCACTGAGCAAATTGAGCCACTATTTTAATCTTTTTAACATTTTAATCACTTCAAAAAAATCCACAGGCACAGATCCAGGTGTGCATTTATGACAGCTCTATTAAACCGATGAAGAAAGAGGAGTCGCTTGTTGGATTTGCTTTTCCCATTTAGCACAAGATTACTAACACCTCTTGAGTGAGCCTTTACTTAAATCCACAATGTAACATCTAGTTTAAGCTTGCACCTTGGTTAGCATCACACTATGTATGCTTTTCTTTTTGCTGTGATAATGGGGAAGGTACAGTGATATCACACTTGTTATACACAAAACATGGCCCCTCTAATTTTTAAATGAACTTTCCTTCACAAGCTTCTGTGCGATAAACCTTTTAAAATTGACTTCAGTGCTCCTGTATACTAAACTCTAACAAGGTTTGCTGATCCAGTGCAAGATCAAACACAAAGTACTATGATCAGAGGCATGTCAAAATATTAAAGAACACAGTGACAGCTTGTACCGCTTTATCAGTTAAAACCACATTATACATCAACCACAACCTGTCTGGCTTGCGCATTTGATTAAGTTTCCTATTCAGCAGTGACTCATTTGTATTCCATGCTTGTCTGAATGACAAATTGAACATTGTGTTGTATTGCTACAAGATGTGTTAATAAACAGTGCTGGAAAGACTTGATCTGAAAGGTGCCGCACCAATGCCGCTGCTAGAATAGAGGTTGATCTCAAAGCTGCAAAGCACTGCTACTGCTCTCAGAGCCAGCAGCTCGCACCTACAACCAGAAACCTTCTCAAAAGGTTGGTGGAAGTGGTCTGACTGTACGGGAGAGCAGAAGAGCGCACACAATGTTTCTTGAGTACAACGTTGCTAGTGCAAGCATGCTGATCTGCCAAAGACATCCTCCATTCCTCCTACCTGTTAATGGCTGAAGACTAAAGCCCCACCCCTCCCTTCTCCCACTCCCTATAAGAAACAAAATGCCAAGCTTCATAGCAGGCTGGAGTTGGAAAAATTAATTCTGTTTCTCCATCAGACAGAAAGATGGAGTGTACATATGTCATCTATGTGGTTTCCTTACGTTTCAAAGAAAAAAAAAAATCATTCCCTAAAAGTAAGGCAATTTCTTAGTGCCAGTGGAAGCAGTGAAAGATACTCTATCTGTTCTATGTGCTATGCTATGTGGTTTTGCAACTATGCCACTTCACTCACAGTCACTAACTACGCATACAAAACAAACTTTTTTTTTTTAAGAAGTGTTTATATAAATATCTACATGGTAAGTAGTTTTATTCTTTATTTCATTTATATTTGAGAATAATTTTGCTGAATAAAGCCTTGATTTTGCTCATGAAAAAAAAAAATAATAGTCTTAAGGTATTTTTTGTCTGTTTGGTTGTTACTTAATCATTGTATTAAATCTAGTGTTGCCTTCTTTCCAACGTCAAATCTTTCACTTTAACAGGAGTTATTTTAAAAATGAATTAGTTAATTTTTGATAAATAGAGAATAAATTAGATTTAGGACTTAACTATAAGAACAAATATATTTTCATCATACTTTCTGATTATTTGAGGTGTTGCAACGCATAAGATGCTGAAATAGCAAAAGACATTGTCCTCTTTATACGTATTGGCATATTGGACTGCTCATTTACCTTTTTTTTTTTTTAACTTCATAACTCTAGAGGTTAGTGAACTGATCAGTGAAAGAGTGAAGGTACACACATCACACTGACAACAACAAAGAACGCAGAAGCACTGTTAGCTGCAGAGATGACAGGTTGCTGAAGACAAGGTGGAAAGCAAAAAAGCTGTAGCTGCAAGCCTGCTCTCTACTGGTCAGACAGAAATGGGGCAGTGCTGCTCCCAGAGCAATACATGGATGCAAGCACTTCGCAAGAGTCATGGCGATGTTAGCACGTTATATTGCAGTAGTCTTAGGAGGGGAGAGAAAGTGACCCCAAGTCTCAAATCCCTCGAATTCTGACTTTTAATTTTGAGTCTCAAGTACTGAAAACCCACAAACTGAACAAAACATTTCAGGTAAGGGAAAAAAAAAAAAAAAAAAAGAAAGAAAGAAAAGGATGTTAGTATGTCTCATCCAGATCTGTGGGTTTTGTGAATTCTAGAATATGGTATTGGCCTACTACCTGCCTTAATTTAATATCTAGAGGTAAAGAGGATGATAAAAAGTGTTTGCCATGAAGCTACTGGCATTTCTGTTAAATCATGCCAAAATAAAATAGTCATTAAATATCATGAGTGTAAACACACACTCACCCTGATCAGCGATATGAAAAATAAATGGTGATTACATGGCATTCC